CTGGGCAATGTATTTCTCGTTCATACAGTACGACAGGTTTTACCCCACTGCAGTAGACAGCTCCTCACCTGGCTGTAAGATCAGCACACAGGTAGCCCTACCTAAAATCCTGGAATAGCACTATACCTCAGTTTCCTCCAAGTCTCTGACTACATGGTGTTCTAAAATGGAAACAGCAGCCATGTGAACTCACATGCAGGTAGCCTGATAGTACTATGAGAGGACATCATCCCTTCCCTCAGTGTACCTTGGGAACATACAGCATATTACTCTTTAATCCAACACAAGCCCTACAAATCACCAGCATGCCTTCACAATCAAGTGTCCAATAGCAAGCTATGTACCTAACCCTCTCTTAGGTATTATTCCTAAAATCGGGATATAGGAAGAGATATTTATGAAAGTGGGATGGTTTCAACTATTTTGAAAGTTTGCTCTGAAATGCCAGTGATTAATACGTAAAACAGCTGCCTGCACAAAAGTCTTGGTAAGTCATTTATTAAAATGTGACAGAGATGCATTATATTCTCAGATACACCCACATAAAAATAGAAGAAAAAAATGTTTCAATAAGACTATTGATATTATTCCGTCTGGCCACCTGAATACTTCAATCACAAGAAAATTCATTCAGGTAAGTACAAAAGCTGTGATTGATTCATTTTAACACATTCCAGCAAAACTTATTTTAGCCTGATCCTGGGGCGTATGAAACCAAAATCTATTCCACAAGAAACTGTAAAGAGCAAGATTTTCAGCCAGAAGGCTTGGAAAACAGACTAAATGACAAATAAATGTTAGGAGACTGAACTTCAGCAAAAAAAAAAAAAAAAAGCAAAAACTAAAAACAAACAAGGAGTCGAACAAACAAGAGACAGCTTAACTTCACCGACTTCAGGGCTGCTGTCCCAAACAACATGAGCTGGAAATCTGGTAATGTCATGCTACCATTAGTTGGCATGCTACTGTCAGTATTTCTGGTACTTTGAGCTGTATCTCCTTATAGACTGTATCAAAGAAAACAATTTAAAAAAAATTTAACAAAGTGTGTCACTCCAAATAAGTGTCAAAAAAACAAAACCCACCAAACACATCTCTGTTCAGCCAGTTCTGCAAAAGAATGAGAAAAAATGCTCAATGTAGCAAAAGTGTAGTTTCTGACACACTATGCTGCAGAGAAGGATGAACAACTAGAGGTACAAGTTCATGGAATGGTATAATTGCTTCCTTTATAACTTTGTTCTTTTCTGATTATGTACATACATTTCAGAGGTGCTCAACCCTTTAAAAGGGCATGGGGGGAGGGGGACAAGCTCTGTATAGTTGCTAGTAAGAAATCCTAATCTCAACATGGATGTAAACTGGAGGTGTCTATACATTTGAGCACTTCCTGTTTTCACTTCATGATCAAATATGTTCTTTGCAGGGCAAATAGGGGAGCACTTGAGGGAGGAAAGCAGAGATGTCTGAGAGGCTAATTGAGTGTACTAAGGAGTCCTTGGCATAGAGGAAAAGGAGTCTTCCAAAGCTATGAATAAACTCTTGGCTTAGGTCAGATTTCTTGCTGTTTCTTTTCTTTAACCACCTTTGAACTCAAATAAAAACAGCCTTAATGTCAGGTTTACCTTTCTGATGTCGTAATCTTTATGTGCCATTGAAAAGCTTATACTACCAGACTAGGACTTCCTCTACTTTCTTAAACACTGGATATTATCCAGAAAAAGCATTTCCACCCAATTCATCCTCAGATCTTTCATCTTCCGGTACTGTTGTAATTTCAAATATAAGACAGAGCTCAATAAGTGAACAAGAACATGACAGAAGCTCTTATCTCTTGCATTTGCTTTCCAACAACAAAAATATGTATGTGTATCCTATTTCAAATATAATTAAAATCACTGCAAAATGGAAGTCATGATAGGGGATATAAATGGTTTTGAAAGACACAGACTGTCAGATATATTCATTCAACATCAGAGTTCAAGTGCCTATCTCTTCAAAAAGCCACTTAAAAAAATCAATTTTTAAAATCAGTTACATTAGGAGCCTGCAAACTGACTTAATAAAGAAAAAAACAGCACTTTATTTTAAATCATAAGTAAATACAATTAGTCAGAACTGAGTTACTCTCTTTGAATTTGACAACGTATAGGAATTTCAAGTTAAATCCATACTATAAGAGATGGACTGCCATTTCTTCCCCTTCCAGGGAAACCAGAGGTTAATGATTTTTGTCATATTGAGACCAAAAGCTAACAATTGCTACAGTTGGCCTTTAGTATTTTATTTGTCCTTTTGAGGTATTCAGAATAGGTGACAATGGCTTGCAGTTGAGAACATATATAGAGAGACCCCTGTGGCTTATGGAAAAGTTGCTCCATGCTGGTTGGGTGTTTGAAAAAAAATACAACCAGAGCCCTTTTATGTTCCTCTCCTTAATGAATGCATGAATGTCAAAATGTACCAATGGCCCATTCAGGGGGCAAAGCCTAAGCAGCTCCTTCTTTAAGAACACATCCTGAGATGTAAAATACATTTGCTTAACAAATTAAAATAATGAGATAATTCAATTAGTTTCTTTAAAAGAGAGAGAGAAAGAAAAAAGGGTACATCGAGGGATTATTGCAATACAAGAACAGGTCATACAGCACAAAGGAGGAACAAACCAATTTGAAATAAGGTTAGAGTAGTAATGAAGGAATGCACATTGAATCATGGACTGCCATTGTAAAGATATTTACTTGAAACAATAAAATTGCACATCACAGATTCCCCTTTTCTGGCTCAGCCAGAGCTGCACTTTGAATGGACAAGCTAATTTGAGAAAAAGTGCAAGATCTTGGGGGGAAAAAAAAGAAAAGAAAAAAAAAGAAAAAAAAAAGGAGTTCTCTTCCTTCTCTGCATGTGTTTATGGCAAGAATCTTTCTGAATTTACACTGCAATGGTCAGGGGTCTCCATTATCAGTTTGCAGGTCTGAGAATTACAGCACAGTAAATCTTTCAACACCTGCAAACTCATTAAGGCTTGGATGGTAAAAGGGTTGGGGCTTTTTTGTGTTCATTTAATTTGATTTTTGTGAAGCCATCCTCACCACTGATGGCAAATTTCCTCAATTCATGTGGAATGGAGAGGGTCAGAAGAGAGAAGACAAAAACAAGAAAAAGGGATTTAAAAAAGCCAGGAGGACTTTCCTCAAGAGAAGTGAGAGTTAGTTAACTGTTTAATGAGCATGTGTTGAATGCTTTCAAGAAGAACGCAAGAAAGGAAGGCAGAAAGAAAAAAAAAACACAAAAAACAAAAAACAAGTTATCACAAATTTCATAAGAGAAAATGAGATTATCACAGAGGCAAGTAAAAAGAAACTGCTTTATTTATGGTCATGCTTCTTGCTGTCTCCCTGTGTCACTCCTCTAAAGATACTCTACAGCTAAATGAAAAACCCTTCACTCACACTCACTCGACTTCCAAATTAAAAACATTTTACAGGTTAGTAAATCTCCAGCTGAGGTGATGTAGCAAAGAACAGCTGTGAAGTAATTTTGATAATGATGAGAATAATAAGCACATGGCAAGGTTCAGGGCTTTGCTGTTGCAGCTTCAGTGCTCCTGAATAGATAAAAGTGATTAAATACTCCTGATTATCCCTGACCAATATGTAATGGATTTACAGCCCTTTCAATTAGTCAGTATTTGCTTAGGACTCATTATTTTGTCTTTGGTTAAGTAATCAGCCCAGAGACTCATGTTCTGTCTAATTCCTCTGAGCCAAGTGGGTACGGGGCACCTGACCTTTGAAATGGCCATAGCTGGGAGGCAGGAATAACCACTACTCCAGCAGAGACACTGGCTATTCCAGCTAATCCTGACCCCACAGGCCAGATCAATGTACCTTAGTTTGCTACTAATGTCCTTACATCAAAATGATGGTTTAGAAATGTGGATCTATTGCTCCCCCCTTTAGCTGTGCTTCTAGCAGAGCAGTTCGATAGTGTCTATCATAAATAAAATGGGTACCTTGTCCCAAAATCATTACACTATAACCAACAACAGCTACTGGGGAAATTTATAAAACTTTGCAGGAGAAGAGGTAGTTAATAATAGTTAGTTTTCTAAGCCTTATGAAGTAAGAAACAATTTTACAATGAAAGGAAGAGGAAAATCAATTGATAATTTTAACAGTTTTTGTTATTTGCCCCATGATGTAAACTACAAAAAGTGTTACTAGGTTTTCTGCAGAACTATATTTTGATATCAAAGTGAAGCAGTAATAGTCATCTGAACACCAACACATAAAACCAACCGTAAGCAGGAGGATAAAGATAGACCATGAAAAGTACAGCTTTTTCATATTTTTAATCTCTCTCCCCTAAGTGCGTGTATGGGCAGCATTTAAAAAAAATGGACTTGAGGAGAAGCCAGAAGGGTGTTTGTTTATCTCTATTATACAATTCAAGAATTAGAGAAATTATAAGCCTGCTATATTTCTCACAAAATTAACATACAAGTTTGCAAGCTGCTGCTTTGACTACTCTTAACATTCCACAGTATATGTCAGGACACAGAGCTTGCGGTTCTCTCTGCCACTAAACATGTATGAAGGTCATGTAAACAGAGGGCAACATCCAGAAAGCATATCTTTATGCATGCTAAAGCAAGAAACCCCCTTGAATAGTTCAAAGCAAAAAAAAAGATTACTTTACATGTAGGTGTTGCTCCCTGATAAGACTTTGTATTCTCTCTTGTTCTCTCTCTCTCTCTCTCTCTAGGTATGTACATATATTTATATATATACATATATATAGGTTTCTTTCAGATTTGTCATGATTCCAAGAGCCAAAAAAAAAAAAAAAAAAATCAAGGGGATAAAAAAAAAAAAAGCAATGATAATTGAGCCTTAATAATGGTCCAAAATTACGGGGACAGTTCATTTCTGATAATGATGAATAAACCTCATTAGGTACATGAACAGAAATCTACTTTGGTTTTGGGCACCACTTACTGTGAGATGCTGGAAAAGCCATGCTCTCATGATATTTGTTGCTACTTTGGGGAAAATGCCTCTTTTCTTCTGTCGCTTTTTGTCCTTGTCTGGGTCATCGTCATCCCCTGTACCAGGTGAGGCTACACTGTTGTCTAAACCATCCCCTATAACAAAGAGAAAAACAAGAGAAAAATAAACAACATGTAGAAGCCAGAAAGTATTATTAATTACCAAGATACTGTTGCAAGTTCTATTTTGATTTGATAGATCAGCACATACCGTTTCTCATTATATTTGAGCGCTGATACAAATATGCAAAATTTAGAAACCATGTCTTTCCAAATACGAGTTTTGTCTCACACATGCATATATCATTAATTCAATTATGATCATGCACTTGACATAGTGCAATAGCTCTTTGTCAATTACAGGATTCAGTGTGGGAAAACCTGCCACACGAGAACCCATTCACTGTAAATGCATCCCTACAACCATTCTGAATACATACGATAAGTAATCAAGTTAAATGTTCTGTAGTCTATATATTCGAGGCCCTCTGCAGAGGTGGCAGTAACTGTGTCACTGTTCAGTGCACATAATACACTGTCAGATGAGCCCCTCCCCAGAAGTAGCACCCCCGGCACACATACATACGCACGCACAAACACGTATACCAACTACAACCCTGCATATAGCATTTGCATGCCATGAAAACTTCTACATCTCTGCATCAGTGATTATTATCATTAAAAAAAAAAGAAGATGCACATCAAGGTAGAGCTCTCACTTAATCAGAACTTTCCATCAACATCTTTCTCTTCTGTGCTTTTCCCTGGCATTAATTGTGCATTAGCAAAAATCATTTACTTTTAACAGTCATAGTTATTTTTTCTTGCCCTCCAGCAAAAATGCCTTGAAAGCCTGCCTGGAGGGCATCTAAATTATGTATCTGAAAAACTCTTCTGGCAAGGCATTGCAGGACCCCTACTTTCTTAAAATTCATACGAGCACGTCTTCCTGTTTTTGGGAAGGCATCAATCAAGAGCAGCAATATATGCCATATTCCTACATTAATATTTGAACTAATAACTTTAAAAAAAGGAAAGAAACAAGATCCGACTTGTGGCATAATCAAATGCAAAATAAATGAAGAATACTGGGACAGCGCTGAGACTTTATAGATTGCTGTGTTTTCCTTACACATCATTAGCCCGGAGCCACACGAAAGAGGAAAACAGAGAAGTGGAGAGTTTATGCTCCCTGCTGGTGTTTAAGAAGCCGAGGTCCTGGAAGGACATCTGGGAATTGTGCTGAGACGGTGGTTTTTGTAATTTAAGAATAGACATTCATTAGCAGTAAATGCCATAAATCCCATGCTAAGTAAAAACCTTGTCCAAGAAAGCCTAAAACAATAAACTCTGTGCTCAATGTAGCCTGAGCTAGACGCTCCATAGCTTCCTGAGGAATGCTATAGATTCACGAACTAATTCCTACAGCCCTGTCTAGCTCTGCAGTGATACTAAATGAAACACATTGCAGCTACGCAGAGTCCATTTGCTTTAAAAGTTGCATTTCAGCTCCATCTTCTCTCCTGTGCCAGATCACCCTTCTTCCACCACCTCCCCTGTGAAAAACCCACCCTCTCGGACCAGGGAGACTGAAAAAGCCACAGCAAAGAGCTGGCAGATTAATTTTATTGACATTTCCATTTTCACTGCAATGTGATACCCTCCATCACATGGAAGAGATGACCCTCACTATTTACAGACTGACAGGCCACTTCATTACAACCACCCAGCCCCAAGGCAGAGCAGCTCCTTTCCATCTGCCCAAACACCAGAGCAAGACCCCAAAGTCACCGCTCTTTCTCATGCTTCTTTTCTCTTCTGTTTGTTTCCATTAAAGACAGAAAAAAGGAGAGTCAGATCACAGCAAACCAATCAAAGAAAACACAGAAGCCCTATGTACTGTAACCAAATGCTCATTTTTTGTATGATGCTAGCTATTTACAAAGTGCTCCTTTTCGTTGCCCACCCCCCATACTCCACCCCAGACCTCTCTATCACAGATGAGCACACACACGTGCACGCACACACACACACACACACACACACTTACTTTCCACTATGCCAAGGAACTGCTGCAAGGCAAATTCTCACAAACACTAATGGCTTCTGACTGCTCCTTGGCAACCCCAGCATTTTAACCTGGGTGGATATGCTCTCCAAAATACAGACACTGGAGCTATCTCATCAGCTGTTCATGTGACACAGATGGAGAGTGGCTATTAGGAGCCAGGCAATGGGCCTTGGGGATCTGAGGTGCTGTACTGTAGCCTCAGGCAATTTTGAAAAGCAGTACCCGGAGATGGGGGGGGAAAAATCTGCACTGAAAGTGCAAGTTTGAAGTCAGTCAGTCCGTTTGTCTATCTGTCGTACGGATAAAGATATCTTTGTCTCTGTATGTAAAAGCTATGTGTGTATGCATAGGATGCATGTAGCTATAAAACTTGCTTTCTGCTCCATCCTTTCTCACCATAGAAGCACTTGTTCACACTATGAACAGACAAATTCCCGTTTATCCTTACACACACACTCTCTGCTTTGTGGGTATCCTCAGCAGGAGTCACCTACATGCTAAATCAGTGTTTAGACCTTTTGGAGAGGTTGTTAATATCCTAGTTTTAAAAGCTAATAGCAGCCCAGGAGATGAAAGTTCAGCTAAAGCTTCCATTGGCTTCCTAGCTTAATCAGTAGTTAAAATGGTAAGAGACAGCGCTTCCTTAATCTGCTCCATAACCTCATGAAAGGATATTCAAATATCATACCTCCAAATTACCTCAGCAGATGAATACACACTGCAAGATTTGTTGCTCCTGGTAAACTACAGGCCCAATCCTGTTAAGCTGTATTGTCATATCTTTAATAGCACTACAACTGCTCACATTACTGGCTGTTTCTTGTTGCAAAAAATCATACAAGTAGCCCTTCACAGATGCTTCCAAGATAGAATGATTTAATTCTCAGATATGGAGGGCCTGATCCTAGTTTGCCTTATACAAATAAAATAGGAATTATTTTAAATGAAGAAAAAAATTATCAACAGTGGAATAAAATTGGCGGATATGAACGTCACTCTACTGCACATTGGATTCAGCATGTTTTAATTGCTGTGTGAATGAAGCCAATTTTAAATCATTTTAAACATCATTAGAAGTGGCAGTGCTTCTATAAACTGTTCACATCTTGATTTGGACTGTACCTAGCAAGAAGAGCAGAGACAGGTCCTAATATGCACGGAAATAGCAATTATACAAGCATAGTTAACCCAGTGTTGCAGTGGAGAAATTAAGTCTAGATTTTGGCCCTCTGGCCTTTCTTTCACAACACAGCAAAAACACAGAGGGTAACCTTCTGCTTCTCACACTATTCGTTCATTTATTCTTATGCAAAGAGTACAAGTGATTTCCAAACCTTATATTTAGGTTAGGAGAGTGGAAAATTTTTAAGTGGCACTCTCTTTATGGATATGTCAATGACTACACAGGATTCAAGTCAGGAGAGACTCAGGCACATTACCAAGCTTGTTTCAGATCCTGTGATGTATAGTAGTCTCAGCAACCTCTAAGAAAGGTTGAGTGAGTATCACAGAAATCACTGTCATAGGAGTTGAAAGGGACCGTTGGACATCACTGAGTCCAGCTCCCCTGCTAAAGCAGGTTTCCTACACTAGGTCACACAGGTAGATGTTCAAGTATACAAGAAACATTGCAAATTGACCCACACAGGATTTCTTACAAATGTTCTCTTCCAGGGGAAGGGCTTGTGGAGGAGGCTAGAGATGCAAAACTTCTTTCACACAGCAGGAAATTAGGCTTCCACACTAGACACTTTTAGCATGTGCTGAGAACTTCTTCCCACAGGATAAATCGTTTTGCTTTGAAAGCAAAACAGACTACTATTTATTTAAAACAGACTGTGTAAGTAGAGGAGGGTTTCCATCGCACTATAATTTCAAATTGATCTTGTTGCAAACTGACTGCCCTGGGCAGACAACTTGCTGATTCCAATATTCACACAGCTAAGAACACAATGGGAGACAGTGTCCATTCCTACAGAAGACCTCTCCTCAGTATTAATCTTGGTCCTTATGCTCTTCACAGAGCAATGACCCAGGGAAACAAGACGTCAGAACTGCTTAAAAGATGCTCATCAAGTCTTTCCATCATCTTTTGATTATCTGCTAACATGATAGATAAGAGGTTATCTATCTAAGCAAAAAAGGAGAACTGAAAAGGATACCCTAGTGATGCGAAAGGACAAAAGTCCGGTTAACAACCCTGATTCAAATTTCAGAAATAGTTCCCATTACCATCATAACAAGCAGAGCAGCAAGAAAAGCGATTTCTAGAAAGATACACTTCAGAACTCAGTGTCTGAGTTTCTTCCTCAGAGTTCCCTTATGGCTTTACGGTTTGTCATGGTAAAGGAAAAGAGATAAGAGAAGGGATCTAACAAGGACAAAAAAAGGCACTTCACCATTTCACTAAAAATAGTGCAACAAAATGAAAGCCATATTAAAGGACTCTGAAAACTACTCCATAATTGTTTTGCCTAGCATTTTGACAGATACGAATTTGCAGGTATTAATGCAAAACAAAGGGGAGATTCTGCATGCATCCTTATATTCAGAATTTGCAATTATTTGTACATTTAATGTGTCCATCTGGAGACATAAGTATTCAAAACCATTATTAACAAATATGTTCAGCTTATTACTGAGATCAACACCATCACAAGAGAAAAATCTTAAAAAAAAAAAAAATACATGATTAATTACCATTGTCAAAAAAAAAAAAAAAAGAGCTAGCAATAGAGAACTGTTTGAATACGTTTTGAGGATGTGACAGTCTGTGCTGTTGGGAGGGGTAACAGAGTGAAAACTTTAATTTCAGAATCCAAGAACCTTCAGGAGGACTCCTTACCTCCATTTCATCCTATTAAAATCATCAGGCTTTTAGCCTCACAGCTTCAGCAGTTCATAGCTCTTAATATAAATTGTTGCTTCTACTGTATTTTCTTTTCTCCTCAACTGAATGACCAATGTTCACGACAGTTGTCTTAGTCTCTCACACCCTCAGAAGCAACAGATCAGAGATTTGCCA